CCTTCCACTAAGGTGTGCCTTAGTATCTGTCTCTTAAGATTTTCCTTCTGAACTTATTTTTCAATTTTGTTTAGTCTTCTAAAGTCAGATATTTCCAAACATTTTCTGATTCAGATCCAGAGATATATTTATTATCAGGCTATTAGTTCAATATACGTTTCATTCCTACAAGGAGTTTTGAAACAAGATTTCAGCAAATCAGAGAGCAAGTAGGTTATTTTTCACTTATTTCATCAAATTGCTTGGCATTTCCCATTGCAAGAAAATTGAAACAAAGAACTATAAAAAGCAAGATCAACCTCTTAATCCATTTTCTGATATTATAACTCAAATGTCCTTAAAGAACATTTCTGGCCACTTGGCTATCTCCACTTTGTTTTCACTTCAGGGTGATTTAATTGTTTGCAAAGGAGCCACTGATTTTTCTCCTAAGGAAATGTTGTGGTTTAACCTAGCAGGTAGCTAAACACCATACAGGGGATTGCTGCAAAATTCATAGGTTGAGATAAGGACAGTTTAATAAGACAGAAAAGGAATAATGATAAAAGAGAATACACCAAACAAGTGATGCACAATGCAGTTGCTCCCCACCCACTGACCCATGCCCAGCCAGGTGCCAAGCAGCAGCCCCCAGCCAGCTTTGCCCCTAGTTTATAACTCAGCATGGTGCCACGTGGTATGGAAAATCCCTTGGGCCACTCGGGGTCAGCTGTCCTGGCTGTGTCCCCTCACAGCCTCCTTGCTGGCAGGGTGGTGTGAGGAGTTGAGAAGTCCTTGACCTGGAGTAAATACTGCTTAGCACCAACCAAATACCAGTGTGTTAGCAACATTGTTCTCATCCTAAATCAAAAATACAGCATGTCAGCCACTGAGAAAATTAAATCCAGCTGAGACTAGGATTGGAATACAGGAATAAAGTTAACTGAAAGACACCTAGGATCTCCCTCTTGAAACTTCTTATTAACTTGACATAGAAACTCTTCAATGAGCACTCTTTCAAATCTTTCTTTTTATTTTGCCTCCCATCCTCTTCCACCTTTTTTCCAAATTCCTTTTCTGTGTCTCAGACTAGCCATGTGTTCCCACTTTCCCTCCAGACACTCCCTTAGTTTCCTAGCTCTCCTTTTTGTTCATACGTCCCCAAACTGAATTTTCCTCATGCTGTCACTGTTTTTCCTCCTCATTTAGAAACACTTTATATAATTTACTATGCCAGCTTGCATTCTCATTAGACAATTCATTAACTCTATTTTCTAGTGAACTAAACTAAGTTGAGGCTATTGGCACTTACAGATCTCTCATTATGTAGTCCTGATACCAGAATGCATATGAATGTGCAATGCCAATAAAAACCTATCTGCAAACACAGGGTAGAAATCATTTCTAGTTTTCAAAGGAAGGGTTAAGCTAAAATGTAAGGTAGGAAACATCCACTGTATTTAGAAAATGTTTCATATAGTGTCTCCCCTTTCCTGTCAGAAAGTCAGAGTGGAACAGCAGCAGCCAGGATCCAGCCTGGTTCAATCTGTTCTGGCAGGGGTTTGATGGATCAGCTCTGGATAGGTCTAACTCCAGTACAGCTGCTATCAGCTGAGAAGCCATTAAAGTGAATATATAAACTGCAGGAAAGTATGATGGTGACATGTTTTGTTTCTAGCTTGTTAAACCAGTAATTGTTATTGCAAGTAGCTGTCATTCCCACCAGCATTCACTTCTCATTGACAATGAAGAAAACTCATTTGTTTTATAGTGTGAAGCTTAATTTACTTCATGGTTGATTTCTTTCTTTGTCTGTCAATCCCAGATCGCTGGAAAAGAAATGCAATGAGTTTTATGGCAAGCAGAATGAGCTGTAACTAAATGGCCAGTACAACAATTATGGCTTCTTACTGATTATGGGTTTTTTCAAAAGGCACATAGAATCAAAAACTCCATTTTGAATCATATTAGCCAAGATTGCCAGTCACTGACTACACCAGACTGGCTTGTGACTTGTGGATATTGTCCCCTCAGTGTGTATTGTTTTAATTAAATTTGACAACTCCAGAAGATATTAACTCTGCAAAGTTTACTGCCTGCTGGCCTTTAGCCATTTGTTCATACTAGCAGTCAAAGACATGGTCCTAGCCACGTCAGGAGTGTAGGAAAGAGAGAGACCCACCATTAATTCACAGAAATGCAAATTAAACCTTTATAGTACAGGTGCAGTTTAAGTATGAGAAGTGTTTTGTGGGCATTCAGTTTACTCTGTTCAGGAAACAATCCCAATGACCTAGAGAAGGCTTCTGTAAGCTGTGTCATCACTAGGAGGGTTTGGCCATACAACAAACCTATCCTGGGGTGGTTAATAGCTGAGAACATGTTAGCTTAACACAGGCTAAATCTGTCTGTACAGAATACCAGAAGTGCAGTTTCTGAAAGCTGGGGGAAAATCTCGGTCTGTGATCTGTTTTATTTTGCACCCAAAGTGCTTTTTGAGCTCTTCTGTTCTGCTGTAATTCTGAAATTAGTTGTATGTAGTGTAGTGCTAACAGTAGCAAAACCAACCAAACAACAAAAATCCCACAGCATCAAGGGCTTTATCCTGGTTAGCAAAATAAACCAAGCACTAGAGAAACCTTTCCTGAACACAGCTGTACAAAAGAATAGTACAAAAATCCTTTGAAGAGGACTGTACTGTCCTATACCAAAGTAAAGTTCCTCCAGTAGCTGTGAGAAGGCACATACTGCAGCAGGAGGTCATTTCCCTAAAGGGAGCTACAGCAGAAGGTCCTGTAAACAAAGTCCATGGTTAGGAAAGGGGTTTTTTTGAAGCCTGGTTTAAGACTCAGTTGAAGCACCGTGTATTGTGCAGAGTTCTGCAGAGATACACTAAAATGGGGAGTTTTGTTCAGGTGCCCAGTTTGAACAGGCATTGAACAGACTGGCTAAGCCTTTCTGAACATATTTGCCTATTACTGCCAAAGATAAAAATCTATCTAAATCCGGAGCTACACAACTGAAGCCTCCAGTCAGTAGGAGCTGCTGCAAAGGCCACTAGGAGGCCTGATGCACTGCAAAGAGCAGCAAGACCAAAGCTCCATCGCACAGATGAGGGGCTAAGAGGACTGAGTGGCTATTTCTGCCCTGTCCCCCACATTCCCTGACATACAGGGCAAGAGACCTGTGAAGGCTGGAGCCAGTGAGAAGCTGCAGCAGTAACCTAAATGGGGACCTGCAGGCCTTAAGGGTTCAGACCTTTGAACACTGTCTGTCCCACACTGCCCTTCATTCTCTTCAGCTTCCTTCTCTTAGTTTCCTCTGACCTGCCCTGTTCTCATAGCTGACTGCCCTTCGAACGCCTCTTTCTCTGTGTTGCCTTGACACACTCTAAAGGAATCTAATTAGAAGGTGACTCATGAAATTAATACATCCCTTATTAGCATAGTATCATTTATTCATTTTGTGCTGTTCCTCACTTTTACATTTTCCCTGTTGTCTCTGATTGTCCAAAGGAATTCTTGCTTGCTTGTCTATTCAGGCTGACTCTGTGCCAGGAGTTACCTACTACTCATGTCTGCAGAGTGTTCATCACAAGAGATCCTCTTTTTTCCATATCTCTAAGCCCACCCATAGCAAACATCATTAATAGCAGGAGCAGGCCCACACACAGCTAGTGGGATGCTTGTGTCATCCATTATATCAGCCCACTGGTACAGGCTTTTCTCTCACATCAAAGTTGGGATCTAATATCTGGCTGTCCTCTCCTAGCTCTCAGATGCCTGTGCAGTACAGCCACAGCTCAGTCTGCCAGCACCTGTGGAGCTTGTTGCATTCTGCATAACACATATTCTTCACTTGCTGTCATTCAAAGACTTTATGACTCCACATAGCTTCTGTTCTGCTTGCTGGTTTCATATATATTAAAATTCAGCTGCTGCAGACAAGGATGGAACTGACACAGTTTGCCTGTTGGCTTTAGTGGCACCGACATGGAAACAGCTCACTGACTATAACTGCCTAGTCTCACTTTAGCAAATAGTAAATATCACACAGGAAATACATACCCTAGTTTTCACCTTGGATCTAACAAATCTAAAACTTGCAAAAATGTGCATAGAAACTATGAGCAGAGCTCTACGTGTGGCAGATACTAAATAAACAGTATCTGGATTTTGGCAATTGGTAGCATGTAAGGGAACAGATAGCAAGCCACTTGTCATGAATAATCCCATCGTTCTTTCTTTCTTTCTTTTAATAATTTTCTTGTGCCATGAACCTTGAGCATCTAATGGGAAGATAATGGCATTTTGAGGTTAACTACAGTTTTAAGTATTTAACTTCTTTATTAGTTGTCACAGCTGGTTGGATTCAGTAAAAACAAATACTGTAAACCCACTTACATGTTGAGTTTCATCTCTATGCCTCTATTACAGACTGAAGTTTAAATGACTTATATTTGAACCCAAAAGATCCTACAGTGCATTTTATGAACACTGCACAGAATATCTATTGATCTACCAAGCAACTGTGGTTTTAAATACAGCAGCTATTTAAGCATATAGAATACATTCTATATGCAAATGTGTCTAAATAGCATAAGAAATAATATGACTTGGATTTTGGCCAGGATTTCCTCTTCCCTCCATCTCCAGAAACAAAAAGTTCTGAAGTGACCACCAGAAATCAAGTACTTTGGTTTTGCATATCCCCTCAGACTACACTTCTTGTTGGTTCTAAGTACAGTTAAGGATTCAAAAGGAGAAGTATGCATTTTGAGCTCCCCTTGAAATATATTGTATTGCTTAGAAGGTTGGGAACTTCTGACAGACCTAAGAAAGGGGTAAACTTTACTTTTAAGTTTAATTCTTTTAAAAGTCAGTCAAAATTTGGCTTTGTGTCTTGAATTATTTGTGCTTTCCAATATCTTGTAATCGTCCTCTGCTGTGACAAATCTCCATTCTAGGAAGGCAGAATCCAACCTTTGAATTAAATTGTTTCCTAGAAGGTTACAGACTTACCACATCCATGATCTGCATGAGGCTGAGAGTGAAATAGACAGTGAGTGGCTGGGAATCATTTGCAACTGGTCGCTCCAGAGGGTTGTAATTTTTCAGCAGCTCCTTGTAAAGCTTCCTTTGGAACTCTCCTTGCAGGGACTCTTTGGGCACAGGAATAAATAGATAAATAATTAGGATTCTACATCTGAAAATAAAGCTGGGACATATTCTTTTTTACTGCTATCAGATATTATGTACTTATTATTACACCTGCTGCATTCCCAGAAAAAATGCCACTATATTTCATGTAGTCATTAGCTACTGCAACAAAATGTAATCATAAATGTATCGCTCTGTTCATGCCAGCCTGTCGGGGGATTGCCTCTTTGATCATTTCTTGACTGGCCAGAAGGGATAAATTCTAAATGCTAACAGTGCTTTCTCAATGTACTCACCCTTCGGTCCAGCAGCAAGAAGTGATGGAGAGGAAATGCACTACCTGTGATTTGACACCTGTCCTGGCATAGCTATAACCAGAAAAGCAAAGCAGAGATACAGCACAGGGCACCAGCAAGACAATGGGAGAAAAATGGCCACAGGTTAGACTGAAGCTGCTCTCAGGCTGCTTCAGGCTGACAACTCTGGGGCAAGTACTCTCTGCTTTGCTCTCTGTTGATGCTGCTGTGAATGAAGTGGGGTGTGGAGCTCCTGGCAGAGATCACAGGTGCTATGTTAATATGCATGATAACATTCAGAGATTTCTGTCCTTTTTACACTTCAAATCCAAGGAGGATCTTTTTTCTGCCGTTTTTCTACGGAGGGAGAGGGAGCAGGTCTACAAGGATGGAACAGAGTAGACCAGGGACAGAGACAGTTTTCGAACGAAAGGAAATCTGGGGCAGGGTAGGAACAGGTTCTCTGGATGTGAACCCTCTCTGTCCCACTCCGGATTTCCCTCTTCCTAGTTTTCTAGTCCTAAACTTCCCCCCAGAAAACCCCGCAGCCTCTGCCCTGGAGCAGCCACCATTTAAGTGACTTCACAGAGTTCTCTGCTCCATCCCCATCTCTCTGTCCCTCTCCCGCGTCCCTTCCCGGCCGGT